TGATGATGATGATGATGATGATGATGATGATGATGATGATGATGATGATGACGATGGATGATCGATGATCGATGATCGAAGCATATCAAACCTATATGAACATATGGCACGGCATCCATGTTTGATCCCTTTAAACCTTTGGGTGCGTGTGAGGTGAGAAGACGTAGAAACCGAACGGAGGATCTATGCCCATGAACGAGACACATGTTTAAGTTCAACGGAACATTAAGAGTATGTACAGTAACTAATGTAGAACTATATATTACATTATATTACTGTATATTAACATATCTATATAATTATACATTATATTATATTTATTAAAACATGAACATATCCCTATTAAAGCATCCTGAAAAGACACCAGTGTTTTTCGACACCAGGCAGTTGCCCCATGGAAGGGTGTCGTCGCACGGAGCTGAGCCGTTGCTTGGATTCCTCACCGGGTGAGCCAGAATGAGATGTCCATTGAAACGGACGGGGTCGAGACATTGAAAGCCAGAGACTTCTCCAAGAATGCGTGTTTCTTCCACCCCTGAGCTTGACCCACCCGCGAGGTCCGTTCGTGGACTTCTGGTGATGAGAGCCGGCAAACGGATGAAGCCAAGCGCGACATCTTAATGAAAGAAAGATATCACCCGCCGAGGGTGCAACGGGTGGGTCTCGGTTTGCGTGATTTGGCTGCGGCCTAAGATGATGAAAGCATGAGGCAGTTGTGTGGTTTGGCTCCTCTTTTGCTGCATACTGCATAGCATACTGCATATACTGTATAATTCATACAATCATGAATGGCATCAAGTGCATCACATCATCACCCTGCCTCCATGACACCGTTTCTTCCACAGGCCAAGCCTGTCTAGGGCGTATAGGGCTTCCATGCGTCCAGAGTCTAGAGGGGACTGTTCAAAGCCAACATTCCCATTTGACCATGAAGTTTCAACTCTGGGGTTGTCAGCTGGGTGATCTTCGTAGCTTCCTCACTTCCAAGTTCAAGTTCCTTTGAAGCTACGAGGATCACCTAAACCCCAAATAGCAGAGTCACATGTGCTGAAATGTTTTGTCAAGTGTGGGATGTGCTAGGTGCAACGACCTATCGCCTCAAAATGCACAAAAAGACTGGTCAGACTGTGTGGTGTTGTGAACATTATCGGCCAACGGGTGCTTTTCCTGTTGCGGCCAACTGGTGCGCAGAAAACTGCGTTTTGATGTCCATGACGACCATTTATAGCTGTTTTTTGCTCAAGAGCAAAACGTACGTTGTTTCATTTGTTTTTTTCATTTTCCTTTCTGATGGCTCCGTGGTGGGGCCAGCAAGTGAACTGGCATGGCGCGGCGTGACTTGTCTACATTGGACTCCTTGCCGGGACGAGAGATGCTTTATTTCGGATTGTAAGAATCTTGTGACCTTTGATAGCATCTCATGGCTGGAAAACTGTACCTGGTTAGGATTCTCCGAAACTCCCCAGGGTGAGCAGATATTCCCAAGTGCCCCTTCAATTCTGCAGATTCAAGGTTTGACCGCTGTTCATGCAGCGCCATGCCGAAGTTCTCCTTTTGTTCATCCTATCCATGATCATATCCATGAATCGCTGCACCACATGATGAAGGAATTCTTCTTCTAAGAGGACAGGGTGCCTGGCGTTTTGTGTTCCGGCTGCCTGTCTTCTGAAGTTCTTTTCCACCACATCACATTCCCCACGTTCAACGAACCCAGGGGCGAGGGCGAGCAGGGAGTGGTCGGCGACCGGTCATGCCGACTCGAGGCTTGCCAGATTTTTTCCAGCCGTACCAGCCGCAGACCATCTTGCAGTGAAGGCTGCTGAAATGTGTTTCAATGTTCCAAGTTTAAATTGTGGAACACTAGCAAGAGAGGTTGGGTCTCTGCATGTCAGGCAGACATGTCAGCATGTGGGTCAAAACTGCTCGAAAGACTCTTTTGAATTTGTTTCTTTCTGGCTTGCTTTACCCGTTTGGACCCGCAGCTCTTTCCTTGAAGAGACCAGCCCGACAGTGGGCACTTAACAGATTGATTTTCAGAACTTGGCCATGTTGATAGTGCATGAATTCTGAAGTACTAGTACTGGACAGGAGTGACTAGCCTATGGAGGTTTCAGATACATACAATAGATGTCACTCGATTTCTCGTGATTTCTATGGGTTTCTTCACTCGACGTCCTACTGTAGTACTTCGGGATGCTCAATCGCTAGAATGAACTGATTCTGCGACGTCCTCTCACCAGAAGAGGCCACGTGGTTTTGACAGTTTCAATCGACGTGCTGGAGTGCCAATGGTTCAAACGCAAAACATACTTCGATGCACGAGCCACTTTTGTAAGAGCATCTGCAGGTGACAAGTCTCATTGATCAGTTTGATGAAACATCACATTGATTCTTCTCCCACCTTGCTACCTGGCTCACGAGGGGGGGAGATTGAAATCTCCCCATCACCCGGGTGCTCGGGTGTGACATCTTTCTTGAGGCGCGCTGGGTCCACTTTGCAGAGTGGGGAACTTTAGGTTTGCTAGAAATCAATTGAAACAACGTGTGTATTAGAGGAGGGTCATCCATGCACGCTTGGATTTGGGCCGGCTACTTCGACTCCCAGTCTCGATGAGAAATCCCAAGTGGACTCGATGGCCTTTTCCGGGTCCATCCACCACGGACCCGTACCCACCCATGGCGGCTCAACTCCCTGAACCCAGACCCGGACGACCGAACGCTCAAGATAGAAACCATACTGTAACATTAATTTCTCCCAAAGTCTAGGAACCAAATGATTAATGCATAAGCTATCCTGCATCCAGTAGGTAGTAGCTTAAGTAGTTTACTTCTCCCTTACTTAATTAAGTAGGCGCCTACTTATATAATTAGGTAAGGGCGGGCCAGAAAGACAGCAAGAAACACATCCGTTTGTTTTGAACACCTCCGTTACTTCCGACAGGTGTCCGAACAAAAATGAAGCTCTTCGGCCTCAATGTAGTGCTTTGTTCTTCGGTGGGCGACTCAGCTTTTGAGGAGCAGAAGTCGAGACTGACCCAAGTCACAAAAACGTGACCATGAGGACGCGACGATGGTGCACTTCACTTTTTCGTTTTGCGGATTCATGGGATTCCATTGCGGACATTCGGATCGAAGGAAACCATCCGGTTCCATGGTGTTTGGGAGCTCCACGCCTGACCTGTCCGGTCCCGATGGGTCCGGACGGCGCGCGTGGCCGTTCATGCGCGCTGCATGAAGTCAATGAGTCGAGGCCATCTCTGTGGCGTGTGGCACTTAGATGGGGCCACGGGTAGAAAACGGGGTCGACCTGGGAACGACCTGGTCATCCCTTCTTTGCCTGAACTAGGGTCTCCCCACTTTAAGGTATATACATTCCAATACACCTATGCTGATTATAAACTGCAACTATATATATATATATATTATATACACTCCAATACATTTGCATGCCTATGAAAAATGTGATGTTTTTTTTCCTCCACAGCATGCATCATCCATGATGGCTAAGGCTGGGGATCTCTTACCAGATGGACTACTCTGGTGAGACAACGCCTGTAGGGAAGGTCGTCCAACTCATGTGGATCCGGCAAAAGTTGTTTGAGCCAAACCACGTGCTTGGTCTTCAGAAGTGCATGTCGTTCGAATATGGTGGAGGTCGTGATCGATTGGCCCTGGTCATTGTGAAGCAACTGGATCTACCAGTGTACCAGCCATGATTTCCCTGTTATTCTATGGAGGGAAGCACAGCCAGGCAGAACATGGTAGCTCAAGGCGAGAAAGACATGCAGGAGGAGAAGGTGCCCAGAGAGTGTGCAGTTGGCAAACTTTGCATCAGTGCTGAGTGCACATGCTATTGACAATGAGCCTATACTGGACAATGAGGCTACCACTCCCTTCATGAATGCTACTGAACCCTTTTAAAGCAGGCTAGTATACCTGGGTCTCCATGCCACCATTTAGAGACCAGAAGGGTTCCGAACGTCTCAGTGATCAATCCAGTCGCGTTCTCTGCGCCCAACCTGGGTCGCGGTCAGAGGCTCTGGTTAACCGTACGGTAAGTAGGGAAGCAGTCAGAATTTGTGCCAGCCAGTTCGTTGTGTATGGGAACACTGGAACAAGAGTGACAAGACTTGGGAGCACTTTTGAAGTCTTTTTAGAGTCAGATCCACAGATGAAGCCTATATAAGTGCCTACATCCAACTCCAATACGTGCTCCAGTGGTTGAAAGCTCTTTGCACTCTGCAGATCCAGTTCGCCACCTACTCTCAGTGGTGCACCCTGACCAAGGAGACTTTTAAAGGTCGAACGGTCGAACCGAAACATGCTCGGAGAACACCGGTGTCCGCGGTGTCCGTCCGTCTTCAGGAGAAAAAGACCCAGGTCATTGCCCAGACCGCGGATGCCATCGAATCCATCAAGGTGAGTCATGACCAACAGATTTAGGTTCAGAAACGAACGCTCGGATTCAGAATCTTAAAACAGCCAACAGAGGTTGAAGAACCCTGTAGACTCTAGACTATCCCAATATGTACCCCAGTAGGGTCCTATAAGGTGACAGCATAACTCAGGAAATGACAGCATAACTCAGCCCGACCTCGCTTTTTGCCGACGCATCAAGGCGGATGTGGCGAAGAGCACCGCGACGATCGAACGGCTCACGGCTGAAATCACAGGTCCCAGGGACCGAGGGAGCGACCGGTGAGGGCGGAGGGACGCCACCGGGTTGGGGGCGAAAGGCAGAAGAAATAGATGGAACAAACACATCGGCAGGTTTGGTTCTTGTACGTTTTTGGTTGAATTCCAGTGACATGTTTTTCACTTGTTGGGTGTTTCTTCCAGCTAGCATCCAAGCCATGTGTCCTATGATGTCCTATGCCTATGCATCATTGATGCTTCCGACCATGGCCGCCATCCCAGTGGTACTTGGTACTTCTGTGTGGCTCAGCACCTGACAGGGCATCAAGAGGAGATCGAGAGATTGGTCCTTGAGCAGGACAACATGACGCAGGCCACAAATGGGTAGCCGACCGCGTGGGACTGCTTCTACTCGGTGTCGAGCCGAGGCGGATGGACGTCTCCGACCGTCGAATCACAACCTTTGTTTCTATCCCCACGAAGGTCTGCCTGCAACTTCTCTGTTTTGCATTGGAGAACAGGTGGCAGGGGCAGGGAAAGCTTTGGCGGAAATCTGGCCTATGGCAATGCTAGATTCTTTTATAAGGCTGGTTGTTGTAGGATATTAAGATATATTAAGATATGTGTCAACCATGTTGATAGAAACTGCGGGAGAATGGATTCTGGCACATGAGGACATGTGGTGCAGATGTGTGCGATGCTGGATTGCAGAACACTTGCGCATAGGTCCGCAGCAAGGAGAATGCCGACTTCAAAGCTGAACAAAAGGCGCGGCTGAACAAAAAGCATCCATAACACTGATGCCAGTCCAAGTGGACAAGACTCAGTTTCAAGCGTACAGGCATACTGGATAGTCATTGATAGTGGGAAGGCTTCTGAAGCCGTGGATGTTCTTCACCATCGACCGTTCCACCAAGCGCGCAGGATTATGAAGAGTCCATTGACGCCCTGGGAAGAGCTTTGAGTACCTTGCAAAAGCAGGTCGGTGAGACCGGGCAGGTGGAGAACAGATCCCATTGTGAGAACCAGACTGTGTGGAGTTTGGCGAAGCGCACAAGTCTGTTTTTTGTGGATTTAGGCCACCCTGGGTGGAACGGGGAGGTGATGCGTGACGCACGATGCAGCTTTGCCTGGATATGTCCATCCTTAGAGATGACGCTGGAATTTTTCAGGTTAACCCCAGCTTCTTCAAGTAGACAGGTTGAGCCGCTTCTTCCTCTGGCTTAGCAGCTTGGCTTTGTATTCTTTTCCCACCTGCCAGGCGTATGACCGAGAGCAGGCAGGGTCAGATGCTGGGGAACGCACCGTCCGAGTTCTTCACGCAGGGCGGGCGACCGCCAGGAAGCTGCACACGGTGGCGCCGAGGGCGGCAGCGTATGAATTGGGTTGAAATGGTTTGGACATCCCCAGACACATGACGGGGTGGCCCCAAGCTTTGGAGACCCATAGGCCGCCATAGGCCCCAAGCTTCTAGCCTGGTTGAACCACGCCCCAGCGCTTTGCAGAAGACGCCGCATAAAGCACGGATAGGGACTCATAGGGACGTGCAGATCGAGATCATGCCCCAAGACCTTTCAATCACAACCTAATCCAAACTCCGAGCTGGGCAAATCATCACTTTGTGACAAAGGCGGGAAGCAAGAAGGAGGCACTTCTGGACATGTCCGGGAACCCACAGTTGTCACTCGCCACTCTGCCATTCTAAAAATCTTTAGAAAGGAGGAACATGTCATTGGGTTGTCGTCATGATGCACGAATCCATCGATTGTGAAAGGGGACCATGACGACATGACGAGCACCGTCGTGGGCGAGGAGTTAGCAGTATATCGTCAGATCCGACGGGAGTTGTCAGGGTCAGCGGTCAGGGTCCACAGTGCGTGGATCGGCTCTTCCGCCATGCTAAGTGAGACGTGTCTTAGGTCGCAAAATGCATATATATATATATATTTTTTTTATTATTTTATTATTATTTTTTTTTAACGCTTGTTTATTGACGGACTCAACATGAGTTTCAACGTCATTGGCCTTTACTTCCGACTTCCGGACCGTTACACCATTTTGGCTCCGGCTCAAACACCTAGCCTCCATGTACAGGCCTGGCAGCTGCCACCATGTCGTGCGGCCCCTTCAAAGGGAAAAAGAAACCGATCGACGCCTCGGAATTCCAAGCACTTATAGTAGCAACAAGCGGAGGGCGGAGGGCCATGTTTTTTTTGCTTACCTGTTGCTTCTGTGGGATTCTTCGCTGTTCGAAGGCTTCTTGGGAACCTGGGCACCTGGTGGGGCCCAAAAAGGCGCCTGGCCATGCAGAAGAAGTCCACACCTGGTCCTTGTGCTCTGCAGTGCTTCGCTGGGCGGGCGCTATGCTTTGGTGGCTTCTGTGGCCGGCATGGTTGGGTGCTTGTTGGGTTGTTCATGGTGGTTGTTTGACGGCTTGCTTTTGGATTCTCGTGGATTTGGGATTTGGAGAGCTAGGTGTTGATCACTTCTTTTTTGGCTTGGCACTCAGTTTGCTCTCGGGGGGAGGCTGTTTTCATGCCCCAGCCCCTTCCAGCTTTTCAAGCCAAGTCAACAAAAGCAAAACACACACCTGAACGAACCACAGGCGGAACCAAGTGCGGAACAAAAAGCCAAGCCCATGACCCCTCGCCCACTACTCGCCTTCCTGAAAACATAAAACAAAAAAGGGGCAACCTAGCTGTTGCCAAAACCAAAAACATGACTAACATTCCAAAGCAATGCCAAACGATCAACAGCACAGAGCGCACGCACCATCCTTCCGTTCCACTAACCCATCATGTTCAGACGGAGTCTGAGGACCCTCCGGTATAGAAGGGATTTTCTTATGGACAGCCTCTAGAGGTTAAATCGGTTAAACAAGATCAATCACAAAAGGTTTCAACAGGTTATAACATGCTATAACAACCCTAAGGTACCGAAGTACCCCAAGCTTTAACATCCCCTCACTTCTACTTCCAGAATTCAATCCTGAGATTTTTTAAAATCTAGCCACATCCTAATGTTCTTGAGAGATGTTCTTGACATCATTCTTTTCCGTTTCGCTTCAACCCCTTCACCAAGCTCCGAGGCCCGTCTCGGGCCGTCACCGGGAGGCGCTCCGCGCCGCGGACTCCGCCGCTCCGCGGACGGGACGAAGACATCGGGTTTTCGGATGGTTTTTTGGGTGTTTCAAGACCGGATTCCGGGTAGTGTTTGTGTGTGTGTGTGTGTGCGTTTTTTTATTTATATGTTATTTATTTTTCGTTTTCCCGGTGGGGCGGAGGAGACGAAGAATTGGTTTGGTTCTCTTTGTGACAGCAAAAAGAACTTTCTATTCTTCTTGCGGGATAGCATAGCTAGGTAATAGCCTCTAGCTATATATATAGCTAACAAAAAGGATGGGAGGATCTCTTCAGGTCGTAGGTGGTGGATTTCTGGCACCGTAGAGTCGAGTGTTGAGCTTCACTTCGACGCGCGCGGGGACCCGCCGTGGACCTGGACTGGACTGGCGCGGTGTCTCTTCAGGTGAAGGAAGCGATCGCTGCTTTCATCTCGAGGAAGCCTGAGGCAGCATGACAGACGTACACCAAACAGACAAACAGCGGCAAACACTCCATGGGTTTGGGGGGTACTGGATGGTACTGGCATTAGTGTGTTACCATGTTGCAAGTTACAATGTTTCCAATATCTATTTCTTTTCCAGAGTTGACCTTGAGTACCACAGCCGTGCGCCTCGTTTTCGGTGCTGTAGACGAAGTGAGCTCGGCTCTAGACGAAGAGATGCTGGTGCTTTTGATGCTTTTTGAAACGATGCCCCGTGCCGAACTCATGCTTGAGACATCCCACAGGTGGATGGATATGAGTTCCAGTCGCAAGGCTTGGCAGTTTGAGGGATGCGTTTGGGGTGAACAAATAGAGGTGCCTTTTGGAAGTCTGTTACACCTTCCAAAGTCATCGAAACATCTAGTTTGTCGAGTGTTGTTGCGAAACATTCAGTGAGTGATCAAGACTCAACTCTTGGTGCCGTTTGAGATGTTTCAACCTTTTGTCGCTGTTTACATCATTGGCAGACAGGTTTGATCACCATGCTGTCGGAGTTTAAAGACAAGTTCGTCCTTGAGAAGGCCTGAGACTCACTGGTGAACGAGATCGGAGATAGCGGAGAAATGCCTGGTGTTTGCGCTGTTGCGTTGCTGTCCCTGGTGCGCATTGCACGACTCCTGTTCCGAGGGCTTTCGCAGGAAGACGTCCAGTCGTGCCTTCTGAGGAGGTATGGTGGATCCCTAGTGCGTAGTATACCCTAATTTAATGGCCTCCAACCTAATAGCGATGGCCTCCAACCTAGTAGCTTCTTGTTACTAGTAGTATACCCATATGATTTGACGATGTCACCTAGATGGGAGCGGCTCAAGAGCCACGAAGTCCCCTGAACAGCGGCGAACGGAGGGGCGACATGCTGTTCTCCAGTCCTTTTGGCTGGAGATATTTGGGAGGATGAGACGGCCTACCGTAGCCTACCTGGTGAAAGAACCATTCCGCAGACCCAACGTGCGAATGAGACGGCCAGTCATTCGAGAGATGATGAAACTGCTCTCATGCGTTGGAGATCTTACCAAGAACATGTATCTACCCACCCGCCGTTAGGTAAACATCTGGGTCCCTCACTGAGATATTCATTAGTTTGTTTGGATAAATTGTTCAAAGTTTGGTGAATATCCAGAGGAGTACCCTTATAGCATCTTATAGCCCGTCGAGGTCCCTGGAAATATTGATCTGGAGCGGGGTGATTAACACCTCACTGCTTTGTGGCAGCAATAAAGTCTGGGGTGAGAAGCAGGTCCTCCCCCCATTGATCAAACGACAGAAGGCATCCAGATCTCAGAAGGCATCCACATTAAGGACAAACGACAGACGTTGCTTGAGAGACGTTGTCATGCTTGAACATGTTTGAGACGCTGCTTGTGTTGGTCCTGTGCTTGCAGCATTTGATTATAGGGTGGTTGACATCTGAGTGCTTTTCTTGACATCCTAACTCAAAGGTCGTAACTCAAATGCCCCTCTAGTATGTGTTTTGAAAGGAACTCAAGGTGCCCAATTCAGAACTCGGCCTGCTTCAAGCAACCTCCTGATTAATGTTATGCATTTTTAAAACTCACCACTTTGCAAGATTGTGTCAAAAGTCCTCCCAGACTGAAACAAACCAGGCCGTACCTAACGGCCCCCTACTGAGCCAGGATAGATTAGCATATAAGGCCATCATGTAAGCATCGCCTGCTCATTGGAGGCTTCACCATTTTGGAATGCCCTTTGGGTGGTTTATTTTTGACTCGCCTATCTCGCCTCTCTCACAGCACTCGGCGAGTCGGTCACTCGGCAGGCTGAACTGGAGAAGTTGGAGTTCGAGAAGAAAGCGGCGCCTTGCCGTGAGTGGTGCCGGGGCTCTTTCTGGGCGCCACCGGGGACCTCCCCGCTTCCCTCTGTGGACCCGGGGTCCATGGGTTCCAGGTGGGTTCGGGGGACTGTCACAGTCCCGCGGTTTGGACCTATGGATACCTATGGCCCATAGAATACCCTGCATCCAACAAACATGGAAATGGAACATGGCCATACATGGCCATACATGGCAGACGGTTTTCCTCTTTTTCCTCTACGAATTCTGCTTCGTTTCAGGGAGGGTATATAGAGACTGTTGACCATGGAACGGTTCTCGGAAAACAACATGGCAGAAGACCACGAAAGGGTGTGTATCAATCGGTGGAGTGTGTCCTGCTAGTGTGTGGCTCTTTCAAGAGCTCTGCGCAAGGAAGGCAGTAGAAGGCCGACCTTCCTTGCAGTAGAGTGCCGATTTGAGAAGAGCTCATGTCATTTGGATTGTAAAGACCTCTTCATATGTTTTGTTTGATGAATCAAGCGTCTTCTTTAGAAGGCTCTTTCCTATGCTTTTCGGTTTAGCCGAGGGTTTCACCGCGGTTTCACCGCGGTTTCACCGCCTTCCTCTTTTTCTCCACCCAGGCCGCGGAGCAAACGCTGGCGGGTTCGGGCCCCGGTGGATTCCACCGCCCGGTCACATGACGCTGTCCAGTTGAACTGGACGAACTCGGCGAACTTGGGCAGCCTTCAAACGTGACGCATCGTCAGACGTTTCTTTCACGAAGGAGGACTTCTTTTTTTCAACGGTCGTCTGATTTCGATGTTGAATCCGATTGCTCCAAAAACGACTCGGTTTGCCGTCACCAGTAGTTCACTTCTGCGTTGGCGAGGCTTGAAGGATGAACAGGAAGCTGCACAGAAGGCGATGTGTGCCTGTCTCTGGGCCATCTTTGTGTTGTTTTTTGTATATATATTACATGTATATATATATGTATAAATACATATATATATATACATATTGATACTTGTGATATCTATAGATCTATACACGATGTATGTGATTATGTGTGGGTGTGCCGTACTTCTTTGCCGAAAGGACATCCAAAGTGAACAACCACGCAAGAGCAATCCATGTACATTTCATTGTTTGATTTGTCAAAGAAGCACTGGTTCATGAATTGTTTGGCAAATTGAGTTAGTTGGGCCAGGACCTCTGATCTAAGGTCCTTTAAAACCGTAGACTTACTGTAACCAGCACAGCGCGGAGTAGTTTTCTGCTCAAGACAACAAACATTAAAACACCTTCTTGTAAGAGAACGTAAACAGTGAGGACCTGGTCCTGTCAAACACCTCATTGATGGTACAGTAACAGATGGTCATACGATTGATCGTCATTTCTGGTCACTTTGTGTGTTTGCTATGCTCGTCATCTGATCTGTGGCTCTTTTTTGAGACACCGCCACTGACATGCGGAAGGCCACAGACAAGAAGGCGGCCTTGAAGAGCAAGAAGCTCCAGCAAAAGGCTGACATGCACATTATATCATATATTACATAGAGTTCTTAGACATCTCTTTCATTTTTGAACAGATGGTGTTGTTCTTTGAACTGTCGATGATGGTGAATGAATCACGGTCCTTCAGACGGCTGCGTCCTCCGCATCGATCTCGTGAGGCGAAGCTGCAAGAGAACTTGGAGACCACCAAGACCACCAAGGCTTCGGATGAGTCACGCACCCAGTGGTGAACATCAGAGCTGTATCCCGAGAGCTGTAGCGAGTTGGTGATGCTTTGGCACTTGGAGCTCTTTGTATACATATGAAATCACAGATATATATATATAAATACGCACACACCTAGAGCCTGAGTCACCTTGGTTTTGGAGCGAAAACGTGGTCATCTCCTACCAGTTCTAGGTATATAGTATATAATTGGCATATTATGGTATATTCATGTATATTCAATATATATACAGTACATGTGTAACTCCTTTTCATTGGGGGTGAGTGGAGTCATTGTCATTGTTGCTTGCTGATTGAACCTGTACAGATGTTCTCTTCGAGATTGATTGGTGTTGCAGCGCCTTGCACCCAGGGACTACTTGAAGGAGACAACGGCGACATGCGACCAGAAGGCGAGCTGTAGCTGTTGGTGCGACCAGATCAGGACAAACAGCGGTCAAGACAAGACCCCATGTGCTAGAAAAGACCTGATGTGACAGCTACTCCTAGCGCCTGACGCGACTTCACGAAGAGGTATATAGATGTATATAGAAACATTGAAATCATTGGGGGATGGGTCAAAACCTGGAGCTGTGGTCCACCATGTAGCTTGACCTTCCAGGTACTGTAGGTCAACTAAGGTATCCTGGTTTCGACCTACAGCCATTGAACACTGATGAGAGACCCAGTTTTGCCGCAAGAGACCAATCACGGATTTTCCGGCGTCTTTCCTTGCATGTTTGGCCATTCTGGGCGCTATCCTTGGCCACCATTGGCCAGGGTGCCACCCTTGGGCCCTTGGGCCCTGCTCGGTCGGACGTCGGACGTCGTCGACGCGTCGACGCGAGGCCGCCGACTTCGAAGCGCGCCAGAAGCTCCGCGTGGAGGAGCGAAGCTGTCTTCGGGGGATCGGGTGGGATCCGTTGGGGAAGTGGGTTGGGTGGGGCAGTGGAAAAGCGAGCGGTCAAAGGTCTCCGGAACGGTTTTTGTTGGCCGCTGCCGCTGCCGCTTCCGAGGATGCCAGGGAGTAGGACCAGCACTAGAGTCATCTATATACTTGTCACCCAACAGGACAAGGACTAAGTTGACCAGCAGGTGTGGGTAAAACAGGGTTAAACACGGTGAAACATGGACCCTGAGCCATGACATTGCAAACTAGCTCCCTTGTAAACACACGGCACTACCATGTTCGAAGCACTGGCAATGAAGGTGCTTAATTCCACCCCAGAAAAGCAGAGAACAAGACTGATGCAGTTGAGGGACAGTGCCACCATTCGAACACCGTCGGAAAACACAGTACGGCCATATATGAAAACTATATATGTATTATATATAGGTGGATAGCATGCAACCTTTTTGATATGTTGTGAGGAAGGTAACTACCACTGAGTGAGCATGATCTAGCTGCGTGCGATTTCATACAACACCGGATATACTGGCACAACGCGTAGAGCTTTTCTCTAGCCCAGTTCTTATCTATGCCTGGCATGTTATTGTTCCCCAAACCCTTGAAAGCCCCAGCCGCAGCCCGACCGGTTCCTCAATAGCCTCGGGATTGCTTCGATTTGAGACGTGGGGAGACGCCTCGCGTGAGTGCGGCGAGGCTCGTCAGGAAAAGTGGGGTCTGATCCCAGGCGAAAGCGGCAGTTTGTTGCCCCAAATCTCTCCGGCGGTTTTCTGGCCAGGAGCTGGAAACCGTGAACAAGGTGGGGATTTGTAGAACTCATGCACAGAGAATTGTAGTTGTATGAATTATGCATTAATTTTGTAAAGTTTACAATACATATATATATATATTTAATACAATATATAATATATGTAATACAATAATGGTTATGCGGGCGTTTTGCCCTACCACGGTTTGGGACTTTTTGCAAAAACACTGCGTTCGCGCATGAGACAGGCAAAGAATTACAATACTCTAGGAATAGAAGATGAAAAGGACACAATGGATAAAGGATGAATATTTCCTGCAAGTTTTCTTTAAACATATAAATTGATATAATTCCTTGCATTTTTTCTTTGAACAATGATCAATTCCTTTCATTTTCCTTTTTAAAGCATAGCACTTCTGCTCATTACTTTGCAAAAGAAAATGAAAGAACTTAATCATGTTTAAAGGGAACATAGAAAGAAACTCTATATTTGTCAGAATCATGAAAGGCATTGATCCTCTTAAAAAGGAAGTAAGAGTACATACTTATTTAAAAAAGGAGCGTGAACCGAGTTAATCATGTTTAAATAGTAATGGGTTACTGTATAGTAATTTTGACAGGAAAATACATGTGAATAATAAAGGATCAACAATTCCCTTCAATTTCCTTTAAACATGATATATTGATATAATTCCTTGCATTTTCCCTTTGAACAATGATCAATTCCTTTTACTTTTTTAAACATAACACTTCTGTTCATTTATTTGCAAAGGAAGGTGAAAAGAATTAATCAGGGTTAAACGGAACATATACAGAACCTATATTTTTTCAAAACATAAAAGGGATTGATACTCTTTAAAAGACAAGAACGATAAATAATCATATATAACCCAAAAATGGACCGAGCTAAGCATTGAAAAAAGTAATGAATTATAACAATTTTGAGAGGACAATACAAGTGAATAAACAATAACACACAATTCCTGTCAATGGGTTATAACAATTTTGAAAGGAAAATACAAGTGAATAATACAGGATAAACACGAAACAAGGTGAGGAGGGGGGGGTGCTCAGAACTCTGTGGTGGTGGAAAGGGGAGGGGTAGGGGAAAGCGGGGGGGGGCTCACAACTCTTGAGGTGAGGGGAGGGGAGGGGGGGGGCGGCGCTCACAACTCTTAAGGCAGGGGGGAAGGTGTGCCCAACTCAACCTCCCAGGAGTGTCCATGCCCCCCCCCCCCCCCCCCCCCCTGAAGGGGTGGGGACCCCCCCCCCCCCTCCTCTACCACCACCACAGAGTGCTGGCTTGTGCTCCGCTTTCATAAAGGAATGACTCACTGGTTAAAGGGAACATGAAAGGGAATCATCACTATTAAACATAAAAATGAAATGAGATAAGTATGTTCAAGTGACGAAAGGAATTGATCATTTTTTTGTAAACAATGCTTGTCAGATATGAAACTTGCAACCTGTGTGTCAAGCTGAAATACATAACACATATGAAACGTGCAAACCGTGGTAGGGCAAAACGCCCGACAAACCAATATAATATATCTATATATCTTTTCCACATGGGAATGAATTGCGGTGCTTCACACATCCGTAGCTGCCATGTGTGCAAGATGCACCTTTCTCCTCCAGTAGGGTCTTGTCCAGGCCATTGACGTGATGAGCTCTGCCAGCGTCTCGGGCACCGAAAAGAAACAGTTGGCGAAAAGCTTCATCCAGGTGCGGCGCCCGCCGATCGAACCACGCGGGTTCCACGCGGTGGTCTCAGCGGACCTCCGCCCCGCCCCGCCGTGGGCAGAGTGTGGCCAAGCACCAGCGGCAAGACAAGCACCGCATGACAGCGTGCGATAAGAGTGAACCGAAAACGATACGCCATACGCCCCAATTTTGGGGGACTCGAGCGATGTCTTTAACGTCGTTTGTTTCTGAAATACACTCCCCAGATGTTTTGGATCTTGAAAAAAGAACCGATTTCTTCGGTACACGTCCGACTGTTCGGTGCTTTTTGGTAGATCTGGGCCAGGTCGGACGTGCTACATCCTTGGCCGCACTGCGCTCTCATAAGGTGGATAAGGACCTGAAGGTGAGGCACGTTGTGCAGCAACGCCGCATTACGCTTCGTTGGGTTTCTTTCGCTGTTGAAGAGCACATGGTTACCCTGAATATCATGCAGAGGGGATGGGATATGAATCATGATGAATCCAGAAGCCTTTTCTTCCCAATCATCCTATCACTTGAAAGTCAAATCCTGACCACTGAATCAGCGGACGTGAGGCTTTTTTTCTTCTTTTTTCCATCCCAGCGCGTCTGGAGGCGAAGCTGCTGGGCTTCCTGCAAAGCGAGGTGAAGCTGCTGTGGGCCACGGCGGCAACGGTGAAAGGGAACCATGCGTGTGGTCAGACATACTGCGACTCTGCGACGAACAAGACTGTGATTGTGATTTCGGTCTTTCTGTGTGGGGTTTCAGCACATTTGTCCATCTCTTGAAGCCTTTGACATCCAACTCATTTGAAACAGTCTTTATTCTTGTTTTTTGAGAGCTTGTGTGTTTGTAAGAACAGCCGTTGGGCTTTCAGGCTCATCTTTCAGTTGACCGATACCGGTATACTTAATTATAGATAGATGGGTCAATACGAGATTGCGGTGGCGCATGCTTTGCAATGTCAGGCAGAGCGCCTTCACAGCAAGGTGCTGGCCAAGTTGGCCGCTTGCACAGGAAGTCGCTGTTCGCGGGCGATCGGCAGTGATGTTCTTTAGGGTTTATTTGAACACAGTTGGACCATCTTTGATCACCACTGTACCATACTACACCCAGGTATTTCATTTGTTTGGGGGATCAATTGACCCAACTTTTAAATTAGATGCAACTTGGTCGCGGGCGGAAGCCTAAGGCAGGAAAGAAGGGGGTCAATTGAACTTGAGGATGGGTCGGCTTGGAGCAAGGCAGGTCTTGCCCAACGGCACAGGACATTCACCCCAACACCACTGGATGGCCTTCGGCCACCTGGGTCCACCTGGGTGGATGGAGCAAATACGATGCCAACATATGCCAACGGTCTCCAACGGTTCTGTTCTCGGAGAAAAATGCTGGTGAAATTCACCAGCTGTGTACTCTCTGAAAGAGGTCGCTTCCGGAAGACTGGGGAGCTTGGAATGAAAGGCAGTGGCATCCTTCCTCAGCGCAGACTTTCATCGGCCGAATTCCTCCCAAACATCCAACAAACAACTTTTAATGAAACAAAGCAAAGTGAAACGGGCTTTCGAGGGTACGGAAGTCAACTGGTTGGAAATCCTTTTTGAACATCACCCGGTATACTCTGTTGGGTTTCCGTGGAGTCCATCTCAGACCCGTCGGCAAACGCACGGCCCACCACACCTCCGTGCCTTGCCCCTCTTCACCACTGCGAGGTGGCGCCCACGGCGGTGTCGGAAGCCATGGAAAATATCCGCGACACGCTTGAGGTTGGACATGCCATGGGGGGTTGGCCAGTGAGACTGGGGTTCCTTCTGCCATGGCGATATATGTGTAAAAATGAGGGATCCCCCCCAAAAAAGACACCTTGGCAAGGGGAATGATCCATGGACCGAATGTTTCAGTGGTTGGTGGGTCTCTCGATCTCTCGGACACCCAAGAGACAATCTGAATCGGGCAAGAGGCAATTGGTGCAAGTATGGAAGACCTAATGAAGACCTTTGAATGGTCATGATGGTCATGTTCGTCAATTGGAGGTTTTTGTCGCGCTTGATTGCGGTTGGACAGCAGAGCCTGATTTCTGTTTGGTATCGTGGTGAACCGATAGGTATCCCGTAAATGAAGAAGGGATGTCAGCTGTAGGTGCAGATTACGATACCAAAATAACTATTCCATCATAGTTTAAAGATGTTTATGTAAAGGTGAGATTCCTTTCATCATGCGGTTCTTCACGCCCAATGGCGGCAGGGCGTGATTAAGAAGCTTGAAGCTGTAGCCGCGGATGAGCACACGAAGAGAGGCAACCAAAGTGGCCACGCCGTTCTAGCTGCATTTGGACATGCTACAATGCGCGGGCATTTAACTAGTATAACAGCATATAACAGCTGATTATATAATACTGTATGAATGATATATAGAGGCTGTTGGTTGCAGGAATTGGGATCAATGGCGATCACATCAAACATAGTGGGAATATCATTGAGATGAAGGATTATCATTTCAAAGACAAGCAGTTTTGACCATGGCCGTCGTACTGGAAGAAGCTCTATTCCCTTTTGGCACTGTCATTGCTGTCCTGTTTTCTATTTGGCATCATCCGATCCTGTCAGAATATTGCAAGAAAGAGATCAAGAAGAACAAAGCAACTCGTGCTGTTTTGGCCTCAGCTACTTACATCCACGTATACTTGGCTTGCTGGCTTGCTGGCATGCTACCTTTGGACAACAGCAGCTTCTTCAGCCGGGCGCGGCAGGTCCGACCAGTGAAGCAAATCAACATAAATCAACCAATCACTCAGATAGCTTGCTTGGCAACTGAGGATAAGAGGGCCGCCATTGATGAGTTGGAAGCTGATATTGATATGCTCGAGGCAAGATCCTCGGATGGGTGACAGTGACCTGGAACAATTGTTGAAAAGGAAGAACATGAATTGAACATGAACATGAATGACGTCCAAGTCCGTCATTTTGAACACAAGTCAAAATGATTTCTTACATCACGTGAGGAAAGAGTATCCTTAGATATCCTTCCCCAAAGTCGTTTTGTGATTCTCGTACTGAAGAGAATAAATACGGTTGATCCGATGTCCGACCAATATGGGCACAGGGAGAAAAGCAAAGCAAAGACCCCGACTTGGCTGGGATCGGTTGATACCCCCGAAGCGTACAGAATAAATACATTATATATATCCTGCAGAACATCCCATTGGGTAGAATAGATCCGCATGAGATTCATGACATTACATTGTCATGCGTTTTCTATCAGGTTCCTTTTCATTATTTTCATTCTCTTTCCATCTCTCATCAGTGTCATGGTCAGACTTGCTGGACCATGGACCGTGTATGGCTTTTCATGGTGCCTCAGAGAAATCGGACCACATGGCCAGATGGCACTAACTGAAGTCCCTTAGCCAGTGACCCACACGGACCAGAAACACCACCGGCAGCCCAACCGTGGCTCGTTGTCTCCACCGTCGCGTCGCCGAGGCCTCCGTGAAGCAGCTCACCGAGGCGAGCGACGGTCCGTGGGTCGTTCGCGTTAGCGTTGATGTCCCCTTTTTTGCAGGGTTTAGGGTAAGGACTTGGTTTAGCCTGACTTGTAAGTTACGGGATTTCGTAGACTTGGTTTAGCCTGGTCTGTAAGTCCTTTTTGGTAAGACGTACCAGTTGAAAAGGGTTCAAAACCCCACCTGGCGGGGACAGCAGAGAGCCCAACTGAGACATCGCTGGAGAAAAGTCGGACATTCCGGGCAGACAGAGCGGTCTGTCTGCCCGCCCCCCCCGCCCGTCAGACGGGTCGACGGCCACCCCTTTGGTCCTGCCGACTCCGGTCGATGGGGTCGTCGCATCTGCAGCGCAGTCCGAGCAGCGCAGTCCAAGTCTCCCGAGTTCGCGAACTCGGTCGGGACAAAGCAGTGGGTCTCGTGGTGCCATGAGCCACAATAAGACTTGGGCACCTGAGATGAGACAGTCTCCAAGACTCCAAGAAGGGATCTCCAAAGCAAGAAAGGTCGAGAGATGTCGAGATGGATCAAGAATGGACATGTTTCGGAAGACCAGACGAAACTTGATGTAAAGCCCCGAGCTTCATGATGGTGGGCGGATGTTCCTCGATTTCTGTTTTTCATTGGGAGGGCACCAAAAAACTGAACTTGATTTTATATATCATCCTGGATCCTGGGTACACATACCCTTCATGTTTGAAAAGACCGCTCGCTCCAGGAGGTGGCAGCTCTTGGGGATGATCTGGTGGCCTTGGACCCTGGGACCGCAGCCGAGTCCACCGCGGGTCAACCCGCCATGGGGCGCCGCCCACGAGGGCCCATCTCCTTGTCCGAGCTGAAACCGTGTCACCGACACCCACTGAAGCTGTTCGGATGTGGGCGCCAACGGATCCCCAAACGGGACAACAACACACAAACCTATAGTATAGATTACGTAGTTAGTGTAGTAATGCCCTTGGCTACTAGTAGCGGTGCTCTTGCTACTAGTAGCAGCGCCACGGGACATCAACGGTACCTTCCTCTGCGACTCGGTGGCGTTTGGGTTCCACGCCGCCGATCGACGGCACGCCTTAGGAACGACGTCAACCAAGCGAAGCGCGTAATGATGAATGAAAACGTGTGGGAAGGCTGGGTCTTCTGGAAAGACCACCTTTTTTCAGGTTTGTTGTTGTATATATTATCTTTTTTTAAATGTTTTTAAAAGAAAGCAGGATTGACTCGGATTGACTATGGGATGCCGCTTCCTCTCAGGGACGGTGTTGGAGTATGGTTGAGCCAAGGACCAGTCTGTGGCAAACGCCTGGTGCCCAGCAGGGGATTGGGGGTGTAGAGACACATCCAGAAAGAGACCGCTTCAAAGTGATCAGAGGGGTGTTGGAAACATTTGGATGCTTGGCTCGTACAAGTAACAAGCAAGCATTTCATCTCGAATTCCAAGTGCACGGATCAGACTTTAAGTTTCCCTAAAAAGCTAAACACCAAATCATTAGCGCGAGCTATCCTGCGTCCTTACTAGTAGCTTACTTGAGGTAGTAGCTACCTCTTCTACTAGCTACCTCTTCTACTAGCTACCTACCTCTAGCTACTACCTCTAGCGGCCTACCCCCTTAAAAAAGTACCTAAAAAAAGGACGGCGCCTGTTTGTTGAGTTCTTGAGGCCACTGACATCCGTGGGAAAGAGAAGGCCAAGAACAATGAGACGGTGACGGATGCCAAGGCCCGCGGCCGAAAAGCTTGGCGCTCTCCACGACGCGCAGCCGCATGGCGTGGCGTGGCACACATCCCAGATCATCCCAGAGCATCCATTTGTCTTTGCCATGAGTGCACCTGGAATTGGGACAAGACCTTTTGGAAACCAGGTCACGAAATCGTAATTTCGGTTCACCTGGAAGAGTTACCCCCATTTTCACCTGGAGAAAACAATGTAGGTCACTCTTCCAGTCCGTTCCAGTCGCGTTCGTTCTCTTGCGGCTTCGTCCCGCGCCCTTTCGCCACACCGGATTTCTACAGGCCGCGGGTGTGGACGAAGAGTGGATGGTTCGGGTCACCAGTTGGAGACGCTGCAAGAAGTAGTTGAGAAGTTGGGACATGGGTCTTTGAACGAAAAAGAGCCTGTTTCTGCCTGCAGGGGGTCAGTCTGTGGGTCCACCGGATCCCTTGTTTGGTGCATTTGGGACACAGAGCCAGACCCAAACACTACATGTACGGTTTATAGTATATAGTCTACAATGGTTCAAACATATAATGGTGTATATATATATAATGTATTATTAGATGCTTACATCGACCCCTGAAACAACCCCAATGCAGGCATACATATGCCATAGATGGAGATCTTGGGAGATGAAAACGTTCATTCTTCGTCTTACCGCGAATTCCGCCCGGTGCAGGCAGCTCAAGCAGCAGTGACGCAAGCCCTTGCGATGCTGAAGGATGCAGCGAAATTCACCGGGATCTCCACGGAACTGAACTGTGTATTCAAATAGGGGAGAAACACTTCGAATCAGCGACAAGTGGTGCGAAGACAGCGAATGGGTGGGTCCGTGGACGAAGACAGCCACCCTCAAATAGGGAGACCCCCCTGGCCCAATTGGGGTAGACACAGATCTGTGTGATGACGTCAACGTTTCAGCTGTCGTGTCGCGCGGAGCCGCGGAGCCATTCGGATGTGGGTGGTGCTTTCCCGGCGTTCAGACGAGGTTCAAGCTGCAGAGATTGCACAGGCTGATCATATTGTTTAATTGGTTGTCAGCGACAACCACTAGGCAGAACTGGCAGAAAGGCTTTGAGGGCTCCTGACTGGGTTTGACTATATTCATTTACACTTTCTCCTACTGACAGGTTTGGGGCAATTCTGATTCAAGTGCACATGAGATTCCATTTACAGTTTGGTGCAGCTGCTGCATGTTGGTTGTTTGACATTCGCAGTTCTCTTCTGGAGACCTCGGGGCTCGACCTCGGCTCGCGCCATGGAGGAGGGCTATCCAAGCGGTTCCCGGAAGGAGGTGTCGGAGTTTCAGAAGAGCCCCGTGAGGGGTCGACCCATGGTGAAGAAGCTGGTGCCGAAGAAGCTTACGCGCAGCACGACGGATGACACACAGACCGCCATCAATCGAGTGGTCCACGAGGCTGTGGCACGTTCGGAAACTAGAACGCCTGAGCTTGCAGAGGAGGTCGGAAGGCTGCCGAAAAAGAACCTTCTCTTTTGTGGTGATCAGATTGTGTTGCAAGAGCCTTCTGAGAGCCCTGTAAGAGTTCGGTGAGATCTCTACATTTTTTTGGATTTGAGAACCCCCATTGGGATCCATTGGGCACTATTGAATTGTTTCTAGTCTAGTTTCTAGCCGGGAGGCGGTACCATGATGTACCATGTAATTATAACATTCCTTGGAATCGAAACTCAAAAACACCTTGCTTTCTCAAGTTTGTTTCCACTAAGCTTTCTGTACACTGTACACCAGAACCTTCGTTTCTTTCCTTGAGCTCGAAAATTCAGCCCCCAGGTGAAGAAGCGCGTGGAGTTGGTCATTGAAGCCAAAGAAGAGGAGCTGAAAGGGCGGATTACTCATTTACAGCGCTTGGAGCTCATTCGATTGGTGGCCACTTTGTCCTTGGATGAGGCGGTACAAGAGCTTTCCAGGATGGCACAGTCGACCTGGGTGAATGCTGAAGAGAAGGTGAAGTCTGTCTCGGTCCCCCCACTGATTTGGCGACGCATCCTATGCAGTCATTTGCTGCCTCAACTGGACGTATTTACCCTGGCGACTTGCTGTCGGTTTTTGCGGCAAGACCACGCTTTGGGGCTGCATCGGCTCGTTTTTCCATCGCATTTTGATGGTTTGGAAGATTCCAACCCTTTGACTCCACTCACTCCTTTGCCTAGGCCAATACCATCAGATGCTTTGAAAGCAGTGGTGTACAAGTTCCGCTACGCGCAAACCTTGGTCATGACCCGTGCGATGCGGCTCCAAGATGCAGACTTTGATCATCTGAGGATCTCACAATTGAGGCGACTGGACCTATCCTTTTGCCGGAAGATCTCTTCAGAGAAGTTGCTGACTTCCTTGCGAAACTGCTTCTGCTTGCAGGAACTCTGTTTGCGCGGGTGTACTCAACTGACGTCTCCAAGCTTCGAAGACACCTTGGTGTCGTTGAAATCTTTGACCTCGTTGGATCTTCGAGGCCTGGAGGTGTAGAGGTGTGTGTGTGTGTGTGTGACAGATCAAAGATAGAGCAGCGCACGCACAGAACAACAGATGAACACGTATCAGAACAGAACAACACACATAGAATCAAATACCTAAATATATATAATTTGAATACAAAAAACATATTAAAACATCATACTATAAAAACCATTCAAAACCATCAATGGCAATCGGTCAAATCACCGGATCAACCCATGGGACCCATGGGTGGTCGCTGGGCCTCGGTTTGGGAGGTCAAACGATGAAACATCCGCAAGCATCCGTGTAGGGAATTTTTACCCACCCTTAACGTCCTTCAAACATCTTAAAACTTCAAATCGCCTGAAAACCACAACCCTGTCCTACTTCTTTGCAAATCTTCCAGTCCCATGGATTGTTGGTTTCAACGGTGATCTTTTTCGACGTGGAAACCCACCAGTTCGTCGAAACCCATGGCCGTTCCACCATCTCCACTCCACCGGTCTCAGGTTGCGAAAACCTCGACACAGATTCCGTGGCGAGGAGTGTGGCGGAGCTGCCGATGCTTCGCAGCTTGCGCTTGGGCTTTGAATGCCAAGAAGCGCTCTGGGCCTTAGGGGCAAAGATCCCCATGATGGCCTTGACATTGTCTTGGAACTTTGCAGCCATGAACTTGAGATTCTTGGAATTGGATTTGGGACTAGCACATCAGCAAGAGAGGAATGCTACGGACCAGGAAGTCAAGGCCCTGCTGTCTTTGAAAGCACTCGATGTCTTACTGCTGTGGAATCTTGGAAAGTTGCAGCAGCAAACTTTCCGCGCGCTGGTTTCCTTCTTCCAGAGTCAAGTTGATGCCTTTACATTGGAGGATTGCTATCATTCGGAAGAGTCCTACTTCCATGTGCTGCCCACGACTTGGAAGGTCTACAACCGGGACACCTTGGATGCCTTTGCTGCTGAGGGGCTCCTACCCGACACCGGATGCCCTACCCAAGGCCCTTCGGGCCGTCGAATTCTGACGGCTTTGAATGTGGCACGGGACCCGGACGCACAGAAGGCAGCCATGGTGACCCCAGTGATGGAAGTGTGTCAGGTACAAGATGTGATGCTAGTGGACGAATTCCATGATTCTTCCCTTGCAAGACTGGCATCGGAGAATGTCCGCAGTGTGGAAATTCGGTTCACCCCCAACACCCCCAACAGCTATTTTCAGGAGACGCTGGTGCCTTTCTTGAAAGCTTGTCCCGAGTTGAGGACGCTCCGGATAGATCTTCGACAGCATTTCTATGCTAGACATTTGACTGATTATGACCTGCTTCTCAATGAGCTGGCTGAGACCTGTTCCAGACTGGAGGAGCTGGAGTTTCTCGTCTCCCCTCCAGATGAGTGGGGCGAGCAAGCCCGCTCCCACGCACTGGTGGAGTACTACTCTGGGCCGGGCCCACAAACGAAATTGGTTGTGACGGCCAAGATGGGCACGGTCGAGAAGCTCTTGCAGAACTGTCGAGGCCTCCAGCGAATCAGACTTCTACCTCCCTCTGTGGAATCCCGTGTAGGCTACTGGCGCCTAATCCGATCCATGGGCCATGAAGTTGAACATTTGGACCTGATTGAAAGCTCTCACCCAGCCAAAATGCAAGCAGAACTCGATGAACTACCTCAAGTCATCGAATTGGTGGCTGCACGGAACGTGTCTCTCAACTTTGGTATGGTCATCTCACCCACCATCGCCGACAGCCTCTTGAGCGTGGGCTTGCGATCCTTCCGTGCAGAACAAGTGCCATCCGTAAATGATCCCTTCTGGGAGTTGTTGAGGAGGCTACCAGCACATAGTCCACATTTGGAGGAGCTAGCTTTGGGTCGTTTGAGCGTCCCATCTGGGGAGGAGTTGCAAGTTCTAGAGACGCTGCGTGGCTTTCATCATCTCAAAGAGCTACGCTTGAATCAGCTTCTCATGGACTCCAAGGAGCCTTCGATCAAGGCTCTCTTGCCCCAAGTGGTGCAGCAGAATCGCAGGACCCTCAAGAAGCTCTATGTGAAGGGCTTTGGCCTTGACGTGAAAACCCTGCTTTCAGCCATTTCGCTTTGCCGACATCTTGAGGTTCTCGAGATCCATGAGTCACGCGAGGTCAAGGAAGATCAGCTTAGTCGAGTGTTCAGTGGCACCAGACAGGATTTGGCTTTCAAGGTGGCGGTAAGATGTCCCAGACTCACCAAGCTCGAGATTCAACTGCCAATTGCGAAGCCCGCCGGAGAGAATACAGACATCCTTCGCAGCACTCTGCAGATTTGCCGCCACCTTGGTGAGATGGGGGACGTCAATGTGAGCTTCTACCGAGGCCTTCAATATAATGGCGGAATGGAGGAGCCTGAGAGGAGTGAAGATTCCGATTCATCGGATGATTGATTGAGTAAAGAAGAGGCAGCATAGGACGAGAGAAGAGTGTGTTCTGACGCAACGCTGCCGGCTGTCTTGGTGGAAATGGGCGAAGCCTTGCACGTTTTCTGTTGAAAAGAATGGGTCCAGTATGGTCCAGTTACTGTAGGTATGGTGGCAGACCTTGTTAGCTCTGTTAGCTCACCTGTTTGGTCAACTTGGGTTGCAGGAGTTCTACGAGAAGGCTGGCCAGGCCTTCTCAGTCTGTGTCAGCTCAATTTGCACCAAATCCTGACAGATGGCTAAAGTGGCTAAAGGCTTTTGTGAATCACATCCGACGGATTCTGATTTGTCACCGAAGGCGACCGCGAGCGTTTTCCAGCTCTCAGGCGACCGCGTTGGTGCAAACTTCTGCGGCTCAAGTGCCGAACCGCCCAGCCACAGAAATACACATATAACTGATGATGAACTTGTGGTGTCTTTTAGTTTTTTGTTCATTATTTTTCAGTGACCTATATTGATCAGAATACACATTGTAATTTGTACGGTTTAATACAAATTAGTACCTGGAGTATATCATATCCGAACTCCTGGTATGCGCGACATCATTTGATCATGTCAGACCGTTTGACGATGTTTTGCCCCCAAAAAGCAGCTCATCTGCACTGCTTGGACCAGCTCGTTGCTGCCGTTCAGCTCCGGCTCCGTGCAGCTCCGTCCAGGTCGGACCAGCCGGCCATTTTTGATGCGCCGGCTCACCCGGTCCGTGGAGTCCAAACGGATGTCTTAACAGGCTGAGGCCACAGGTCGTTGGCGATGGCCGGATGTCTTTGTTTGGTGATTGGATCCTGTCTCAAGAGTTGCCCCAAAAGAGCAAAGCACATGAGTCACCTGGAATTAGCATCTCTCCTCTTTTCATTGCCCATGCCACCAATCATCTAGAGAAACGCCTTATCTATAGAGCCTCTGCCCCAAGCCCCCGAGTCGAGTCGAGGCCCTATCAGGGCATGGGTGGACAGAGCGGAGGAGTTCTTGGTCTCTTGGAGGCTGCTTTTCGTGCCGTTCTTTCTCCATTGGCGGACTCCGCCTGCGACCGGGCTCGCGGCTCTTGGAGGAGGGGCGGGAAAGGGGTGGAACGGTGCACCGTTCCGCTGTTGAAGGCGGATGGCTTTTGGATCAGGTCTTTCTAGATCCTTTCCCTGTGGACCTTGGATAACCCAACAAACATGTATATGTATATTTAAAAAAACACATGATCCAGAAAAAAATGGGCTCCGCCATCCTTCGTGCTTATGATGATCCAGAAAAAAATGGGCTCCGCCATCCTTCACCGGGCGCAAGGAACTCTCAAACGAACTCCCCTTCTCTCTCCTTCCCGACTGAACCGCGCGCCGCGCACCGGCGGACTTCGCCGGGGAGGTCATCGCCGCGGACTTCGCGCGCTTGGAAGCGGAGACCTCCTCGGAAGAGGAGACCGGAGACTGGAGGGCTCGGTGTTCGGACCAAGAGGGAGGGGCAAATGGTCCGGACCCTGCACGGTGGATAGCTCGTTTCTTGTTGTTGGGGGGAGATGATGTGGATTCTAGAGGAAGGATATTCCATGGTGGTTCCTGAGAATTGATTTAGTGGACTGGGCAAGAAAAGCAACATGATTTTGTCCAGATGAGGGATTGACCTCAAAGAGAGCCTTTTTGGGGTGACCAATGAGGGAAAGAGACCACCCTTGAATTGAGTTTACGTGCTTTCAGTCCCCGCTCTTCGCGCTCTTTTAGCTCTTGGTTTCAAACAGCTTCGAGAGCAGCCTGAAGGAAGCTGGTCAAACTGAGTACGAGAACTTCTTGAAGGAGTCTAGGGCATCTCTGCCATGTTTCTTGGGGCTCCGTGGGCAGGGTGCTCTTCGAAGCTACACACGAACAGAATTTGAACTGCCATCGCCAGTTGAACAAGAAGCAGATGGAGCTGGACGTGAAGCACAAGAAGGTGCTTTTGCTGGGTCAGAACCATCCTTGAAATCAAAGGCTCTTTGGTCACATCTGAATTGGAACCTTCCTCAAAACTCCACAGTGGGGTGGCTGCTGATTGGGCCTCATGCGTGAATCATGAACTGTGGCCATGGCTGAATGAGACCTGCATGGACATGGCTTCCACCATCACTATGACAATGACACTCCCCCAAACGGACCGATTTCGTCCGAAGGTGAGACCAGTCCGTCCAGTCCGGTGAGACCCTGTCTGCCAAGGAAACCTCCGCTGAGCAGACGGCAGAAATCCAGGAGACGAAAACGCATTCAGAATGAACGCATTCAGGCGGATGTTCTGACCAAAAGCATCCATGTGAAGATATGCCTATATACATTGACCCCTGAAACCAATGTAGGTAAAGAGGCCCCAATCCCATGGATGGTCTGGGTTTAGATCTTTAGATCCACTCTGGAGTGTCTGAAACCCGTGAAGTCTGACGCGCCGTGCGGGGCTTGGGGCTTGGGGTCCTTCAACTTCAGGAGAAGAGCAATGAACTTCTCGAAGTTCAAGAGGCACGGAGTGTCCAGAAGTTTGTGCGGAGTGGGGTGAGGTTTTGGGTCTGATTGCTGTAGTCGGATGAGAGAGCGCCTTGCCAGGTTCCTCTCAGAATAGCTTGTTCTAGCAAAAAACAGTGGATCCATGACTAGTCAGTGGATCCATGATCTCTCTTGTGTGGGTGGAGGTTCCCTCTCAATCGACAGCACATCAGCCTTCAACCATCATAGATCAATAATCCCTGTGCGGAAGTTAGAGGACTGGGCAGTTGGAGAGGAAACGGCCGCCCAAGCGAATGCTGTATCACACACTTGGCCCCTGCCATTCTAGTGTAGGGCATGATCTGTTGGGAAGTGTTGGGCACATTGGATTGCATGTACAGTACATACTGGATCATTCCCAATCATACGTACCATATAATATTATACTATACTTTCACGAAAGGTGGCCTAGCCTCAGGCAACCTGAGTTCAATTAGCTTTAGCTTATCGGTGTTGCTTTGTGATTGAATCCTACCCGCCTTGAGCTTTGCTGGATTCGATCAAGTCAGATCGAACGACTTGTTACAACTTCGGATAGACAGTCTTGCCTGATCCTCCACGGAGAGTCTCCAGTCGTCGAGTCCTATCCACTGTCCTGGCAGGAGTTGGCTGCAGCATTGAAGGTGTGGGAAGTGCTGCAAAAGGAGTGTCTCACGTCCCAAAAGGCGCCCCCTGTCGGACACATGGTGACGGTGAGGCATCGGCAGTCCCCCAAAAGCGGTGCACTTCAAACAACAGTGCATCAGTCCACTTTCGAACAGATCGAAGACGTTCTTGGTTGAAGAGGATGAAGAAATTGTGCCGAGCGCTAGTGAGATCAAGTTCTTCCGCAGTCCCCTTCGTCTCCTTTTGTGGTCGTCCAGTCCTCCAAACACTTCTTCAGGCAGAGGAGGAGCGGCGTGAGGAGAATATCGAGCAACAACCTCAGTTTCAGAGGTGTTTCATCAACACCTGTGTTGTTTCGTTGTGGTGCTTGAGGGATCTTGAGGGTAACCGCAAGTTTGAAGAATTTCCCCACTTCAGTTGACCACTTGAATGGCATGGTGATGTTCTTTCCATGGGGAACATGGGGAAAGCCACCAAGACTCGTGCCTTTCGCAAGTCTGACCACCCCGGTCACACCGAACTGACCCGTGGCGCCCTCGTCGCATGAAGCCTATATAGTTAACATAACTAATTAAACGAAACCTTAAAATTGAACCTTAGGCTACTGTGTCACCTTTAACAAACATGGGTGCTACTGTGCACAAGCAAACCAAGAGCTTCCTTCTGGTGGCATTCTGAATACAGAGGAGCACCTGGTAGAACGCACAGCGCTGGAATTAATCGCGCTGTGCAAACCCATCTGATTCAGGTCTTTGAAGAAGGCTCTTGACATGCTGGCTGACTCTTGAGCAATTAGCTCGTGCCTGTCCGTTCAAAATGGGCGGGACGTGAGCGCCATATTGTGCCATCTCTTGGCTGCAAAACCGGGAACGCGCTGCTGCGGACGGTGTGGCGGGACACCAGACCTAGACCTTGCGTAGTATCCAACCTGCTCACTGCGATGTTAAGCATGACCGAAGTGACAGACCTTGCCCAAAAGACCGAAGTGACAGACCCGTGTCCACAGGCTTTGGTTCATTTAAGGTGTGTCAACTGATCAACACAGTCGTGTCCGACCCCTCGTAGCCACATCAGAAACTCTTCAACTACAGACTTCTGTTTATGACGGTTTGCTTACCTAAAGCCATCTATAAAAAGCCGTTGTTCTTGAATCACAGCCTCCATCTTCCCGTCCGAAATCGGCTTTCAGCACTCCATCCGTTTAGGCCCCCCTTCTCTTCTTGATTCCCCACGTCCGCCGCCTCTCTCGGCCTCAGCTGTGAGCCGTTTGGGCCGAGTCCTGTGTTTGAGCGAAGGATATCCGTCGGACGACTTTGCTGCTGAGCCACGGACGACCCCAGCGCTGCTGCGGTGCGCCGCGCCGAACGCCGCGACGAACGCAGCGACGCGGCCGCGCGGCCGCGGACGTGCGTTCGGTGGACAGGTTCCGATGTGGCAGCGATGGGGCGTTCGGATTTTGTCGGATGCGCCCGAAGTAGTTGATGGATGATGATGTATAATGATGTATATGGTTTATGTAATTTATGAATAGTTATGTCAGTTATGTCAGATATAGATGATATAGGTTGCCCGACACGGACACGGTCATGTGACGTCATGTGGGCTGCAGGGGGTTTCATTCATGAGAAAGCGCCCGGGCGGCTGGGCCTTAGCCAGCCATACTGAGTTTGTTAGCAGATGGTGATTATACCGTGAAGTCCTGCATCAGTGAATCAGTGGCTGTTTAATTCTGTTGATAAGCTGCCTGCAGTTTTTAACTTCTTCATGTCACTTTCAACACAACCCCTCATAAACCCAAACCAGCTGACCCGGAAAAGCTGAAGACGAATCAAGCAAACCGTGCCGGCTTTGTTTGGAATGCGCCATGGCTGCGACAACAGCAGACGAACAGATGCTACAGGTGCCTGTACACAGTGTTGTGGAGTTTCCTGTCGGTGTTTTGTTGTAGGAGTTTCTTACAGAATCCTTCGACATTTTTTGGAGTGTTTAGTCGAACTGATCAGCTCTGCAACAATTCATCCCGCAGGGTCAAGATTCGAAGTACTGTATCATCGCTGGTGGGGGGAGGGGGAAAAGGGCTTCAGTTCTTCGAGAAGCACCCCGCTCCGTACAAAAGCCAACACAATCCAAAACATATATAATTCAGTCAATCGCAACGAACGTGGTCAAGTTTAGCAAGAACCACAACTACGAGGACGACGACGACGACGACGACGACCACCACCACCACCACCACCACCACCAGCAAAAACAAGACATCAGCAGAGACCGCAGCAGCAAGCAAAGACAATGCTCGACCTGTTTGCAACGCAGAAGCACGCAGAAGCCACGGCTCCCGGTCGTTATAACCGTAAGCATTTGGACACCCCATCACGCAACATGTCATCGCATCACACTTGACATCGCTTTCCATACGCCTGGTGTCGTCCGGACGTGCGGCGAGTAGAAGCGGTGAAGCGGAGACCGAAACCGAGACCGAACTTGCGCTACTTGCACCATGGGTTTGTAATATGATGGATAGTATATGCTTGATTTTTCCCCAAAGGACCAAGATTTGACATACACACACACAGACACACTTCTCTCTTCATCCCAGCGCCTTTGCAGGACCAGACCAACGAACCCCGCCACAAAACGATCAGCCGCCAAACAAAGATTGTTTGATTTTTGAGTAATTAATTAAGAATGCACAGCAAAGGCGCTGCGCTTGATTGCTCTGCGCGCACATGAAATGAAATGAAATGTGCCAAGTCAGGACTCTCACCAGGGACTTTTTTCCACGTTGTATTGTCCCTCGGTGCCACCAGGGTCTTTTTCTTCCCTTTCCTCGGCAGGCGATCTGGACGGGGGGCACCAACTTGGCCTTTGTGCCCGTCTTTGTGCTGACGTACCAGGCTGCATCCCCGAGCCTTTTTACGCCGGTTGGCGCCAAAAACATCTAGGAGATCCTAGGAGGCATACTTTGGTGCCCATGCCTCTGCGGCATGCGGACAGCCACTGTTCGGGTTCTGTTTGAGGAGCTGGACCTTTGGTGTGAAGCATTCCACTCCCCTATGCTGTCAAATGCTGTCAATGTCGATTCATGAATGTCAGGAGGGCATGCACTACGAATGCATTATTGGCTCCTTATATGAAGTAAGGGAGGAGGGGTTTTGCGCCGGTCTTGCTCAGTGGGATCTCAGTGCCTCTCAGAAGTTCAGGGTCACTGTACAGATGGTTCTGACATGTTCTGACAGAGGCAACATTCTTTGCTGAATTGGTCCTAGAGCAACAGTTTGTTGGTGCTGCTGGTGCTGTAATGGCGGCAGAAGTTCAAGATGCGAATCACATTGAGAACCCCTGCACGTTTATGTTTTCCAGAATCCGGACTGGACTGTCCAGGGTTTGGACTGGGTGGTTTCAGGGACCACATGTGTGCCGCATGTGCAACCTTTTCTTCTTTTTTACCTCCCCAAGAAAGAACTGTATATTTTTTTCATATGTTTTCGATATTTTTCTCAAGTGAGTTGAAACCACCTGCCCAGAAGGACAGGACTGGGTGACTGATGCCGCTGGGCTCCCGAGCCGAGCTTTTCGCTGTTTCCTCCGAGCTTTCCGTCGGAGCGAGCCGATGCCACAGTCGTCCGAGGCCGGTCTCGCCATAACTGGTAACATCATGATATAGGTTTTCCTATGTTTTTCTATAGCTTGTAATCCCAGAGCAGCCATGGGACTGGCCTATTGGCCTATCATTTATCCATTCAATGTAGGCATATATGGAATATAGATTGATGTAGGTTGTAATGCAAGATCAATGTATGCACTCCCTGAAACCATCATGCATGGAGATGGAACATGACCCCGGTTTCTGATGTCGGATGACCATGAAATCCGAATTCCAAACAGGTGGCTTTCCACTTCCATAGTTTTCCTTGGGAGCGTTTTTGGGATTGAGATGGATTAAGAGTAAATTGGCCCTGGGACCCCAATGTCACTGTCACAATGTCGGTGGTTTGGTATGAACCCGCATCTATTTAAGACATCTTGGGGTGCCATCTACTCTGAAACCAGCAAACACAGGTCCTCTTGTTTCTTTGGGTCGGCTGGCGTGACGGACCCCGGCGTGTGACGGCTCACCGCTCACATCTCCCTTCACTGAGGCTTTTTCACCATGGTGACCTCCAGCCTCTACCATGTGTGCGAAAGTTTACAAGTCAAATTCTTAGGTGGGACCGGACCGTTCACCGACTTTTTTTTTTTTTCTTTTTGGGGGTTGAAGTTCAACCCTAGGCCATCCTAGACCTTTTTTGACATGGACTTGAGCAGGCTTCTTTTTCTTCCTTTTGCAGGCTTCAACCATGGCCGATGGCATCACATGGATAATGTCTTCGCGCCTTGTCATTTGGTATCTGACATTGAACAATACGCATGCTAATGTATATACATATGTTCTGAATACACCTGGGATTGATACACCCTGTAGTTAAACCTAAAGACAGACACCATACCATTCACCATACCATTGTCATGGTGAATGACTTAAGAGCGTCAGAGCCTGGCAGGTTCTTGGTAAGTAAAGAATGCCTGTCACTGACCAGAGAGTTTTCTTTTTGACCCAACTGTGCACGGCTTCTCTAAAGTCACGCCTTGGTTCTTCTGCGTACTGCTTCTGCAGTCACGTGGGGGGGCGGACTAGCCTTGATGTGTGGGGGAGACTCGTAGACTCGTTAGAGAGCCCTCCCAGTCTGGGGAGAGAAAGAACTTCAAAACACATTCCAGAGCCTTCACAACAGAAGGTTCCTATTATTCTAAGTGTGTAGCCTCTTTGGGCAGCATCATTAAAACAGGATCTTTTGCCTGATTCATCCAACCCGATCTTAGGCGGTCACAGCTCTACTGCTCAACATCGCCAACTTTGCGCAGGCGAATTCGGGAACCAAATCACGTAGACTCTTGATTCATAAAACATCATCACCCCGTATTGGATTGCAACACCTCTCCAGATGGGGGGTAGACTTAAATATCTTACAGACGGAATTCCGACATGTCATTGACCTGCTGCACGTCCGTCCAACGGCTCTTTTGGGGAAGCAGCTCTTCAACAGCTCTTGTCATGACCTCATCGCAAGACCTCAGCCTTCGATCGATCGTGCCATGACCCAGCTGGAGCAGTTTCGAACGACCTAACAGTTTTCAGATACAATTCATTAGCCATCCTTGGATATCCTTGGCCTCCTATTCCATGTCATGCATAGATGTGTCTTTTTCTAAAAATTATGTTGCTCCATTATTGATCATTTTTGCAGGTGTTCACTTGCTTTGACCAACGCTCGCTTCGTTCTTGACTCGTCGCAGGGCCCAAGGCCCTCGGCCTTCCGAGAGTTGCGGACTCTGGGCCAAAACGAAGGTCGAGTGCCGAAAGGACGGCGAAAAGGAGGACGCCGCACAGATCTCCGACGCGACCATTGATATACAATGGTACAATAGATTACATGTACCAGCACCCTCCAACAGGTCAACACCTGCGACTTTTAGGTGCTACCAAGAGCTACCACAGGAGACCTGTTGGAGGGCCCTGGTATAGGAGTTTCTTCAGTTGTCTGCTACACCGCCTGAGATGCCCCAAGCACTGTAGACAATTGGGCACTCATCCCTGTCTTTTTTTTTCAATTTTTGGAGGTGGTTTTGTTTTCAGATGTTCGGATGTTTATGTTTTTCCCCGGTCGACCTCAAGTTGACCTCCTCCAGCTGCCCAGATCCTCCCCTCCGTTGGTTTGGCAGGTTTGAAGGACGAACATCGTTCCAGGACCTTCCAAGAGGTGTCTATATAATCTATATAGAGGTTAAGGGGTGTCCAGAAACCACCTGGGACCTGTTGGAAGGTCCTTGTTTGTATCCGTATGTGTATATAGATTGTTTGAAGGGTTATTCGTAATTGGAAAGAGAACTGATTCGGACTGTCGTCGACTGTCATTGGTGGCATGAAACAAACCGGCATTCCAAGACCGTGGAGTCAAGCGAAACAGTCAACTCCGGGTGAACTCACCCCTCCTCTCAGAAAAGTCACCCAGACGCTCCACACAGCCCTTGGTCATATGACCAAGGGGACCAGATCCAACCTCCACGGGTCCAGAGTCGCGTTTGGGCAGGATAACTTTTTTCTTCAGACATGTTCAGATTTGGTTCGGGTCCAGAGTGCTGCGAAAGTGTCATTACCCCAAATGCGAAGGTGTGGAGGGGTCCAAAGGTGCCCGACAAGTCGTAGACGGTTGATTCATGGAACCCCCCAGGACCGGAGAATACTGGAGATGTAAAAGATGGTAAAACCATGTCGTAATCAAAACTCTGGAGACCAGGGGGCGGGTTCTATTCACCCAATTTCATCTTCCCCGTCTGCAGACCTACTCCCACACGGACAGCTTCTTGCCGACGGGTTCCGTCCCGCCTTCGACAGCGTGGTGGAGCGCACGCTCCGTGCCCCGGTCGAGGGGTGGTTTGACCAGGAACTCGCTCGCCACGAGTGTGGTGGTTTGCTTTCAAGTGGCGTCGCCCTGGAACTTGATGCACACCATCTTGCCCTTGGCCGCTGGACCGCAACCAGTGGTTGGTTGCGGGCTTGTCCTTGTGGAAAGCAGGTTCGTTCAGCTAGGTCAGAGCTTTTTGGCTGTGGCAGAATTGAGTTCATAAGTTCATACCTACCTAGTTAATATAGATTTAGAATATTCTAGAAGTACTAGACGTTGAAAGTCTTCAAAGTCTTCAGCCCTGGTACGCCTTCTCTCTCGCTCTTTCGCTTCGGTAGCCCTGTCCAACGCTAAGTCGTCCAACGCGGACTCGGCTCGGACGAGGACGGACCACGTTGATGTCCACAGTCCAGTCTTTACACATGGCCATGGCATAGATAGGGTCTGTCCGTTCCTGTAACAAACAGTAAACAAGCAAATCATCATGTTTGAACAAGGCCTGCAACTGAACCATCATCATCCACTGGGCCCAGGTAATAGACCCAATGGATACACATGGTGCATACATGTGCATACCAATGCGAGAACCTTTATAATTATACGACCAGCTTGGGACCGGCATATTGACCGATATTCCACCAGGGGTGGTTTGGGGATCAATGCTTTTGTTCCTCTTACATGAAGTGTCTAGGATTTGTGTATTCCGAGTGAACAGTTTGTGGGACGTTAAGCTGGCTGCATCACACTGCGTTTTTGGTCTGACAAGATGTCCCTGAAGCTACGAGTCAAGTCAAGGAAGCACAGGCAAGCAAGCATCAATCCAAGGCCAGACAACCTTCTTTTAGATAAACTTCTAGCTTCAACCAAGTACCAAGATGTACCAAGCAAAGGTGATCAATTGGACAACTGGACGACGAAAAACAGGTACTCGCAGGTCCCAGCTGAAGAGACCACAGGACGCATGCTTGTTGATCAAATATATATATATATAGTGCATCCACTTCACAACTTTGATCACTTTTGTTGAGTTCAAGACACACCGTTCGCTTGCTGCACCTCTTCTGATTTGTCTCTGTGGAACCTCAAACATCTCTTCTTCGGCATTCATGATGGGAGCCTGGTGAGTCCTTTTTGACCCAGTCTTCGAGGTCTTTGGTTTCGTCCTGCTGCTGGTGGAATTGGCCTACTGGAGAAGGCGGCTTCCGTCCGCGGAGTGCACATCGATGAACCCGAATTCGTTCACGTCCGCGAGAGTCCTATGATGGCCCATGGTATGGTTGGAGTACAGCTTCTTTCCAAGATTCCCCTTCCGAAGCTGCGGCCGTGCCAGGCTGCCAAGCTTTGGCAAAGCAGACCTCTTTAAGGTGCAGAAGAGATGCTGGCAACAGGATGCTGGTAGCTGTGAGAACTTCTCAGCCCAGTAGAAACTCAATTCTAACTCAAAAAGGATTTTGTTGAACAATTTTGCTTGCGGATCCCCTTAAGCATAGTATTGTTCGAACCAGAAATACCTTTGCTGTTTGGCGCTGTCCACAATCATGGAGTCTTTGTTTTGACATGAAACACCCATCAAACCATGCAACTCTTCCTCTCAGAAAGCTGGCAAAGACGACTGAGATGACTCCCCCTGCTGGCCAGACCCTATTGTGTGGCTCTGCAGCAGGGCTATGTTTCTACAAAGGCTTGGATGAGACAAAGGCTGGGTCCTGTGTCGGGTCGGGTCCTGGTGTCATAGGTCGAACTGGGGCCTCCGGATGCAGTCGAGGGCCTACAATGGAAGATCTGTTTTGGATGAAGTCTTTCGGTTTGGCTCCCAGAGGCTCCCGAAACACATCCTAAATGCCATGAAAGAATGCCATGTTGGCCATGTAGAGGAAAACGACGGTGATAGTATCAGGACATATCAGGACAATTCCCCACTCATTGCTTCCTCCGTCACCGCTGCCTGGAACCAATTCTTCCCACTCCTTCTCTCCCCTTCTGCAATTTTTCACGTGTCACTCTCACTCTTCGGTGTTGCGGAGCGGGCTGAGTTGAGTGGATGAATCCTCAAAAAAGCGGAAGATCATGGACGAATTCTATGGACTTGCTTTCCCTGTTCCTTCAGCACATTCAATGTCTTTCTTTCTTTCTGTCCCTCCCCCCTCCCCCCTCCCTCCCTCCCTCGCTCGCTCGCTCGCTCCCTCCCTTTTTGTCAGATTGCTTTTGTGTCTTTCATGGCTGAGGCTTGTCACGAGCTGGGCTGATATTGAGCCATGATCACAGCCTGTGCGCTACGATCAGACATGTGATGTGCGACATACATGTCGTATATCATCGTATATCATAGTATGTATGTTTCCATGTCCTCTGTCACCATCCAACATCTGCACAGAGCTTGCGAAGACGATGAACACGACTTGTGCTCGCCGGCTAATCGTCTACCCTTTGATCCTTCACCGATCGCATCGACTCACGGTCCGTTTAATGTGAACATAAAAATGCACGACTTGGGGACACCTGTTGGGATGCTCGTGTGGAGCAGGGAATTAGTTTTTTCCTTGTGCATATGTTGTTGTTTTCTTTTTTCCCGGATCTTTTGCTGCGAATCGATCCCACATGATCCCACGCTTTGGCCCAAATCGGCCGCAGGATTATCTGCGACTTTGGCATGGCGGTTGGCACCTTTGTGTGTCTGCCATGACCTACTTCTCGGCCGGGGCTCCGGTAACTCCAGCGTGGCCACGTGATTGGACTCCGTTGGCGTTTTGGAAAGCACAGGAACGCACATATAACGAATGAAATATAAATACTATGATGTAGCTGAGCTGTGAGCACGTTAATCATACATATTATAGTGGTATACCCTTACTTGATTGGACGTATATGAAATCCGTCTCCTGGAGTACTATGAAATGAGATCCAGGTAGTTATTTCATAAACAGATCACTCTGGAAAACACACATGGAATTATGTTAAGATTCTGACATCTCTGTGGTGACAGGAAAACACAAAAGCACACTTAGTCTGAACCTGGAGACGGTCATTTCATAAACGAGTATGCTTTAGTGTTTCAACATGAAGCTGCAGTTGGAGTCTCATTTTCAAATTTGACCATGCTCTTTGTGTTACCGCTGCGCCGTCATCTCACTACCATATCCAAAAATAAAAGCCCGCATGTGTAAAAGTATGATTTGGACAATCAGAGTTACCGCAAGTATCAAGTTGGAACAGACTAAGAAGCGTAAACTTTAGGGTTCTTGAAGTATATTATATATACGTATATTTTATGATATGGGATATTCCGTGTGCACATGAAAGAATGTGTTTGCGTAGTTGGATGTAGTTGGCCATCATTAGCAAAACCACGTCCGACAAGGACTTTTTGCCTTTCGACCTGCAGCGCCTTTGAAATGCTTCACAGCTTCCACTCACTCAGGTCAAAAGCCAGAACCCTCACCACAAACTTGCTGAAGTGGCAGCCAAAGATGCGTGAAAAAAGAGACGAACAAAAGGAGACGTTCGCTGCGTTTTGCACGCTTATTGACTGCTCTTCCTAGTGCCATGTCAGCACTGAGTTCTGAGAAGAAAGTCCCCGTTGAGTCGTTGAGTTCTTCGATCGACGTGGTTCGAAATGGCAGGTATACTTGAGCGATGCAGCATCCGAACCCAGCGAAGATCTTCCTGAACGTTCAGAATGCTCTAAACCCAGGCGTGCTTCTTTATTGGGGGGGGGGGGGATCTTTTGAAGCGATTCGGCCGACACCGACAGGCCAACGAGGAAGACTCGTTTTCTTTCCTTTCGGGTGTTTTTTGTGGAAGACGCTTCCATAGAAACTTAGCAGATTGCTTTGCACTTATGATATGTTTGTGTCATTCGTTTCTTTGCATTTCTTTGCTCGTTGTTTGCAGCCCCCCAGAGAATTCAAAGGAAGGAAGGGGCTCTCCAGGCTTAGGCTCCATGTGAGCGGTGTTTTCGCTCATGTCCAGGAGAGACGCTCAATTCAATCCTAGCAGATTTGGGTGTGGGAGATTTGGGCGTGCGACTCTTCTTTGGTCCAGTTTTGGTGTGACATCTCCTGTCAGGTCAGAGTACTCAAATGTACGCGCCATCTGCGGCGCCGGCCCAAGCCTGGGCTTGATCCGGGGGATCGCCGACATCTGGATTTGGGTTTTGGATTCTACCAAGCCACCAGGTCATGTGGACTGATGAAGAAACCCTCTCCCCAGGAAATTGGAATTTAGAAGCTTTTGGATTCATAATTCATGTCGTCTTTATATATATATACACATTACAATGAGCAGAGGAAAGGACGACATCTGCCAACGATCGCAGCTGCGATCGTTGGAGGTTTCGATCTCCGATGTCGGGCGCGTTCCAGGCTTTGGGAAGTGCATTCAGCGCAATGTCACCGACCAGTTCACCTGTCTCACCGCAACCGGGCGGGTGGCGGTCACCGGGTGACGGTCCTTCCGGTTAAAAACAAACACACAGAAATCGTATATATACTCAGAATATGCAGCGCTTTTTGGCGACGGCTTGCGCTAAGAACATCACCAGAAAAGAAGGACGGGTTGAATTCCCTCGTCTGACGCGTTCCGAAATGCAAACCCTAAAAAAAAGGTCCAGTGGACTCACTCATCCACCAAGTGGATTAAACCCAACACGGGTCGGTGTTTGGAGCCTCCGGAGTCGGAACGGGAGGTGTTTGGAGTGTTGCCGATTCTGCGTCCAGCACCTCTACTCTTTGCGCGTCTTTGCGTGTTGTTGTGCTTGAGCACGGGTACTGTATGGTACCGGTCGTTTCTGTGTGGTGGTAAACTTTCACCAACTGGGCGTTCCGCCTGTGCAGACTGGATAACTGGTGGGTCACGATTGGGTTTGGGCCGCCCATTTCAGGTCGGCAGTAGGCCGGGTTTGTTTTGGTTGGTTCATTGCACTTCTGACCGGCAGTAGGCCATTTCATTCTGTTCCATAGTGTCAGGAAAAGGCAACACCTGAGACGCTTCCTTCAGCTTGAGAAACTGTTTAGCTCAGGCAATCACTTTTTGATGCCATTCCACCTGGCAACAATCAATGGGTGCGCAATCTCAAACGTGCGGCGCGTGCCGCGTCCCGCCCGTGGAGTCCGTGGTCGGCGAGCCCGCCTGAAGAGGGAAGACCACTAAAAGAATGGTTGACCTGATTTTGTAGTGAAACAGTTCTTTGATGTTCTTTGATGAAGCAGTTCATTGATGTTCTTAGTGAAACAGTTCTTTGATGTTCTTTGCCAAAGCCAATGATGCCTGTTGGGATCGGAAGTCTCTCTCGATGTTGAATGGACCTTCATCGCACCTGGCACACCCGTGGAGGAAACCGACGCGTCTTGCGTCGTGGCGCAGGTGAACACTGTCATGGAAACGGCTCCGTTCCTGGATGAACAAGGAATTTTCCAGGCCGGAGGAAGGACCGTAGGGATGTGACATCCTACTATATCCTGTATCTATAGTCCTGTAAGTGTGCAGGCTTCAATTGAAGGGGCGCCCAGGATGCAAGTTTCGCACCTAGTGTGGTCCAGAGTCCAGTGTTCTTTTTTTGCCCCCGCAGACACCGAAGGAAGTCCCAAAGAATCTCCTGTGGACGCGGTTCCGCTGCGTTTCCTTGGCCCGGCTGAACGACTCGCGCCGGCTGTGGAGGCCGTTGGCATCCTGGACGAAGCTCTAACTAGTGCATGGGGAGCCCGGCTGTTGAGGAGTCCAACAGCAGACTTGATTTTTGACGTGGGATGACATGGGCAAAATCTTCGTCACTGTCCTTAAGAATCTTGAAACACCGAGTATGGCCGTTGGGACATAGGCAATATAGGCAATACCGTCCACATCAGCACCGCTTAAACCACTACTGATATCTACTATACTGATACTGTACAAGAATTGCCTTCGTTTTTTGGTCCCTTATCGGTGAATCCCCGATGTGCGGGAAGATGGTTTTTACTCTTCCGGTTCCTTAAACTTAAAGAAATCCAAGAAATACAAGACTTTTGTATTGGCTCTCATCCTGACATTCGGATGTTCACACCTTTTGCCTCGAGCATTCATCACCCTCGAACCAGGGCCCGGTGTGCACAACAGAAGGCGACCAGCAGCACAGCAGCGTCGTCGAAAGATTAGCAAGATCGGCTTTTACTTACAAGAAGACAGACACAACTTGGTTTTGTCATGTCATGTTCAAGTCAAGCTGCACTGAAATCGCCAATTCGATCCAATTCACTTCGGTTGTTCATGTTTCCGTTGGTTCAAGATGGTTTAAGATGCCAGGTATGACACAGCATGTAGAAGTGAAGTCATGTTCAGTGCAGGATGGCTGAGCAAAGCACACTAAACACCACTAGGTGGGAGCAGCACTTTCCTGTGAAGTTTGTTGACCAATTCGTCCCCAAAAGCACTTTCCAGGCCCCAAAAACACTTTCGGTCGAGCACCACTCGCGCCGGGTCGGGAGTGGCGAAACCTGTGGGTTTGTCCACCCAGGTTCGGCACAGGAAGGCCATCGATGCGATGGTGGCGAATGCGAACCAGGTCGGCTCGGTGGTGCGGCTGACTGTGTAACTGGTTACGGACTAACCATGGACATACATGGACCCAGAGAGGAAAAATCCGTGGAAGGGCCATTTTCTGCAGAAAAAACCGGCGGTGGTCTGCAGGGGAGTATACAGTAAGCAGAAAGAAGTAAGACCATGTACCAAGAACAACAAGAAACTAGAAAGAGTACTGTATACTATAGACTCTATAGACATCTATAGACAAAACAAATCTTCTCTTATTTTTTTCTTTGTATATATAATATACATACATACAAACCAGTGGTGGATTCGTTTCTTTCCGAAGCTGTTGCACCGCGTGCCAGTATCCGCTGGGAATGATGAACCTGGGAGTAGCTGAGCACATTCGTCAGCAGGTGGCTTCGCTCAGTGGGGGAAGAATGACTCAGCCCGTTTGGCAACACCGCTCACATAATGAGCCCAACAAGGAAATGTCTCCATGCAGTGCATGTTCCAGGGTTGTTTACGAACTTGACACGTCCTTCCATTTTGAGTGGTGGCGAGTGGCGGCCTACCGATTGGAAAAGACACCATTAGTCGTCCTGAAACTACAGCCACACATACACTTGCGGTCTCCAAAAGCACCGCCTGGGCTCTTTTTTCACTGGGGCTTTCAGCAGCCTGCCGCATCTGCGCGAGCATGTCGCAGTTTTCTTGGCAAGATGCAACATTCTGCGCAGAGAGTGTGCGTGATTCTTGTGACTAGACTAACTAGCATAGCATACCAATCAAATGCTTGTTGGAGCCACGGGCTGCCTGAGCTTTGAGCAATAAGCAACAAATAAAAACTGAAGGAGGAGTATTATAATAATATCATAAACTTCATTGCTCTAGCTGAAGACTATGGCTTGGTTGAGCGGCTTGTTGAGATGCATTTCGGGGGCACAGACCCGAAGGCTTTGGGGACAGCCTATTCTCTCTGGCACAGCATCCGCCGTTCCCCCACCGATCATGGCACCGGGCTGGTATGTTTTCTGTTTTCGCTGTTCCGCCGGGGATGTAGACTCTGAGTCATGAATGTACTGGTTGATCAAACCTCAGAATTAGATTGTACACCCTCTTCATCTGGGGCCTTTCAATCATCAAGAGTCTACAGCTGTGTAACAAACCCGGGCCGACCCATCATGCCAACCCCTCTGATCCATCAGACTCGTGCTGCGGCCTTAGGTGCAGCACGAACAGCTGATGCTGTTGCAGCGTTTGCAGCTGCTTCACAACAAGTATCCCAACGTGGGTGGCTCTCAGGCGGGCCGCGACGAGGGACAAGGGGACGGACCGCGACCGACGAACGTAGCAACGGGAACGTGTAGCAACGTGATGCAGAACGGAACCTTCTGAAGGATCTTTGGGGATAGGTTTCCGAAATGTTCCCCTTGTGGTTCACCTGTCACTTCCAGTGAAACGGCTTGGGACAATGAGTTGATCATGTTGATCGCGAGCATTTTGAAGTCTGCAGTGGATGCTCCGATCCATTTGGAGCCACAATTTGGGTGAAGATCAGGGGTCCGAAATGTTATGAAGTGTTTTCAGTGGAGAAGGTGTGCTTTCCAACTTAGGGCCTCCGGGATCAAACTGGTGCAAGATGCACGTGCTCCCACTCCACTCCCCAGTTGATGCCTTGGTCAGCCTTGCCTTGCACATGTTCATGTCAAGGACTTAGGGATGCCTCGTGCAGTTTTTGTTGACTCTTGCTAAACACGAACACCCCTGCCTGCATGGCCCAACTATGTGCAAGTAATTAATGTAAAATAGCTCCATGTGTGATCATGTACCTGTGTGTTTAATGCATCAAGAGTCAACACGTATGACGTATGACTCTATGTTTGAGGTAGCTCACGAGGGCTTGAGGCCTTGGGAAGCCCTGCAGCTGCCATCTTTCGCCCCGCGGCAGGCCCCGGGCTTTCCTCCAATGCAAGGAGAAGAACAGAGTTC